AAAAAAAAAAAAAAAAAAAAAAAAAAAACCCAGAAACAGGAAGTGAAAACACAATGTGCAGAAGGGGAAAAATAGATTGCAAAGTATGTGTCTGATATTATCTGATAAAAATATGATAAATATAAATATTACTGGATTTTGTTGCCAAAAACAGATATACAAGAAAAATATTTAGGAATATATAAAAATAAAATTCAGCCAGGTGTGGTGGCCCATACCTGTAATCCCAGCACTTCAGAGTATGAGGCAGGAGGATCTCTGCTAGTTTGAGCCCAGCCTGGGCTACATAGAGAGTTCAAGGCCAGCCTGAACTATTTTGAGACCCCACCCAAAAAAAACACAATAATAATAATAATAATAATAAATTACAAATAAAGAATATGACTATATAGTTCTCTAAAAAAAGAACATGAAGCTGCTTCCTGCCTCAAAAGCACAAGATCCTGAGTTCGATCCCCAGTACCAAAAAAAAAAAAAAAGAACATGAAAAGATACTTAACATCACTAGGGGAATGAAAATAAAATTGTAATACGATACCATCTCATACTCAAAATGTTATCTATGATTGATAAGACGGACTGGGCAAGGTGGCACACCCCTGTAATCCCAGCACTCGGGAGGCTGAGGCAGGAGGACCGCAGTAGGTTCGAGGCTAGCCTGAGCTACTTAGTGAGTTTAAAGCCAGCCCGAACTACATAGTGAGACCCTTTCTCAAAAAACCAAAAGAAAGAAGAAAAAAGACAGGGAATAACAAGTGTGGTGTGGATGTAGAGAAATTTGAGCTGGTGACAATGGAGAGCCGTAGTGCTGATGCAGAATACAAACTGCTTTCCAAACTGCCAAACGCAGATTTGGCATATGATCCGGCAGTTCCATTCCCAAGGGGGGTGAAAACGCGTCTGCAAAAAGTTGTACCCAAATGTTCATAGCAGCATTGCTAGGAACCAAAGAGTAAGAAGGACCAAGTGTTCACCAACTGACGAATGGACTAACAGAATGTGCTGTGTCCATGAGTGGAGTAGTATTTGTCAGGAACAAGAGGTAAACTACTCGTGCAAACCATGGCGCGGACGGGACTTGAGCGCATGTGTGTGAGCCAGCTGGTCTCAGAAGACCACATCTGTGCAACTGCGCTTGCCTGACACAGTTCGGGTCGGTACGTCTATGCAGAGACAGAGTAGATTAGCAGTCGACTAAGACTGGGGTGCACGTTAAAGGGTGAGATGGTAGGGTTAGGACAGAGGAGAGGTTAAAAGTTAAGGGGTACCAGGCTTTCTTGGGGTAATGAAATGTTCCAAAATTAATTATGCTGACATAAACACACGATTTTGTTGTTGTACGAAACTCCATTAAACTGCATCATTTACGTGGGTAATGGTGGGGTGTGTGAAATATCTCAGTGAAGCTTACAAAAATTCAGCTGCAACTTTAGCAATTAAAAAATTCAAGACGGCTGGGGATTTAGCTCACTGGTTCTGCTGCCTGCCTCACAAGCACAAGGTCCTGAGTTCGATCCCCAGTACCAGATAATAAATTTTTTTTTAATTCAAGACAGATAAGAGGCTGAGCTCTTTGTAGGCATCCGCCCTTGTGAGTCATGGCCAGTGACAGTCACGTACTGTTGAAAATGTTGCAGGAATGGTGGGCAGAGGATGCTACACAAAATTCTGCTTGGCTCCACCAATGCTTCTTCGGTATTCGCCTTTCACCTCATCGATTCTTGCTCTTCCCACATTCGGCTCGTGTCACATCATCATATAATAGTCTTCCCTGACCCTCATGTCATGTCAGGAGGTAAGCGGTCCCTCTACGTGCCTCGCAGCAAAATCTAGCATAGAATCTCACTATAGTGCAATAATTTGTTTTCCCACCTAAATTTTGTTTATTTTATTTTTTTTTGGTACCGGGGATTGAACTTGGGTTCTTGTGCTTGCAAGGCAGGCCACCGAACCACTGAGCTAAATCCCCGGCCTCCCACCTAAATTTTGAAATGAGTTATTTTGTTTCATTTTGTCTTGTTTTGACACAAGGTCTCGCTAAGTCGTGTAGGCTGGCCAGGTGTGGTGGTGCATGCCTGTAATTCCAGCACTCGGGAGGCTGAGGCAGAAGGATGCTACAAGTTTGAGGCCAGCCTGGACTACATACTGAGTTCCAAGTCAGTCTGAACTACGTAGCAAGACACTGTCTCAAAATTAAAGGAGTTCAAGGTGGCCTTGAACTCATGGTGGTCCTCCTGCCTCAGCCTCCCAAGTGCTCAGATTATAGGCATGCACCAGTACACCCAACAACTGGGGGTGGTACTAGAGATCAAACCAGGGCTGTATCTTGATGGGCAGGTATGGTTCAGAACCATGGAGAGCAGCCGACGTGGCTCCAGGTTAGTCCTATGGCTGTGGCAGGCCTGTGTTGGTCTCTCTCAGCTGGGCTTCTTTCCCTGCTGCAGTGCTCCTCAGCATACATTCCAGCTTCCCGAATTCTCCACTGCACCTTCAGCTTCACTCCCACAGCTTCACACACTCGCATCTACAGGCTCCTGGCAGGGACTAAAACCCTGTCACACATTTTTGCCTGGCCCCCACACCTCCTTCTAAGACCTGTTCGACCTCCATAAACCCGGCTTGTATGTACTGTCTTAATAGACCACACATCCGTCCAGTAGGGTTTTACATTACAAATACAGTAGTGATGCAAAAGCAATTCCGTGTGAAAAGTCCTCTTTACAAAATACTGGCCACAAAGAGACATATCTATAAATATCAATTAAGATGGTTGATAATTTGATTCTCATAACTATGGTAACAGTTTTGTTTTATTTTGTTTCGAGTCTATGCAGTCCTTACATGACCTGGTCGTGGGATTTTTTTATTTTGTTTTTTCCAGTACTGGGAATCAAACTCAGGACCTTGGGCTTGCCAGGCAGGCACAGCCACTGAGCTACATCCCCCACCCCTCAATTGTGTTTGGTGAGAATCCACCCACAGAGGTGAGACACTTACACATGCCATCTACTGGCCATGGGAAATGGAGGCAGCATGACTTTATTAAAGAAATTTAACATGAGCCAGGCATGGTGGCTCACACCTGTAATTCCAGCACACAGGAGGCTGAGGCAGGAGGATCACTATGAGTTCGAGACCAGCCTGGGCTACATAGTGAGTTCCAGGTCAGTCTCAACTGTGTAGTGAGACCCTTTCTCAAAAAACCAAAACAAGAAAAAAAAAAAAAAAAAAAAAAAAGAAAAAGAAAAGAAAATTAACATAAGTGAAAGCATCTAATTAACACTGGCATTATATGATCCAAAGAAAAATAATCATAGAATTTTTATAAAACATCACTCTAAGATCCTTTTATATTTTAATTTTAAAATTGTTAAAAATAAAAATTATTAAAACATAATTCTGATGTTAAAGCACATTATTCTAATGTAAAAATTCATATCTGCTTTCATAGAAAATTAATTAAAATATTTCATTTTGCTGAAAGCTACTGTTTTCCCTGTCACATTGCTCGAAATCCATCTAAAAATGTAAGGTGTTTAAATTTTCACAGATAACATATGAAAATCTTATTTGATTTCTTACTAAATTCCCCTTATGTTCCAATAAATAATTTGTGTGTTAGCAAAAATCTAGGTAACAAAACATTATCATTATTAATACAAGCCAGCTTAAAAAATCGGTTCCTCCTGATTTGGAAAACTTAAAGCTTGAAATAAGAATTCTACTGAACCCAGAGCAATGCCAAGTGGACCAGCAGCCCCTGGGACGCATAGTATCGCTGGACCAGGCAATCCTGATCAGGAAATTAAATTAGTCCCCTTCTGTAGGACAAGGGTCAAACCATTGCTTTTTCACTAAAAGGCAGCTAAATTAAGAGCGCCACTGTTGCTATTAGTAAGTATGTAACCTCCATACTTAATATCTATTCAAAAATATAGCAAGTATAATTATGATTCCAGTAGTGTTATTTGACTTTTACGTTGGTGAGGGGACAGACATTAACAAAGACGCTCTGGACTGAACCGTACAGACGTACCTTTTGTATAATAAGAGTCCTGCCTCAGAAGGGCGCCTGCCGGTGATTTCAGACTGAATTCTCACGCTATTTGAACAAACAAAAATAGGGCAAAGTTTTTGTATGTGAAGCTGACATATCCTACTCCTTTCCCCTCTTGTTTGTTTGTTGTTTTGTTTTTGGTGGTGCCGGGGATTGAACTCGGGTCCTTGCACTTGCGAAGCAGGCAGCAGAACCACTGAGCTAAACCCCCGGCCCCTGCTTTCCCCGGTTTCTTAAAATGACACATAGGTATTTGTCTTTCAGGGTTTTTGCTCCCCGTCGTGACAAAATAATGGTCCCCATTCTCCTTTTGTTTCGCTGAGCTTCGTGTATCTCCTCTCTCTCGCAGGTAAGGAAGGTGAGGCAGGTAAGGAAGGCTTCCTGGGTGCCGCTGGAGTTTTGCCACCTCTCGGAAGCCCTTTAGCTGGTGCTGGCCCCTCGTGGCTGGCTGTGCTGACTTTGGTGCGGTCTGTGTTCGGGCAGAAGCCTGGGGACCCTCCAGATGGACAGGGGGGCGCAGCGAGGAGACTGTGAGGAGCCGGGTCCTGCCTTCGGGGTGTACTTTTATTGTGGGGCGGCTTTGGGGGAACTGAAACTGTGTTCTTACCCTTCGGTTCCTGGGCAGCTTTAGCAGGAAAAGCTGAGGGCCCTGGAACCGGCTGTTGAAATTCAAGGTGTGGAGTTCGTGCGCTGGGATCACCCCTGCCCACGGGGTCCTGTGGCTGTGGTTTGGGAGCTGCGTTTCGTCATTTCTGCGCAGGACTGCAAAGGAGACTTAGGCCCTGTGTATATTTATTTGCTCCTTTGGGCGCTTGGGTGACCAAGCTACAGGTGCATCCTGCCTGCAGGAAATGTGGTTGCGTTTCTAGAACTTTGGTTCCGGCTTTTCCAGCACATTTACTTGGCGAAAGTGTAGGCAGATGCAGGCAGAGCTCTTGAATTCTGGGTCAGAAGAGCCTGGGCCTGATGCTCGCAGTGGCTCCGAGGTACCCGCGCTAGTTCTTTCTCGCTAAAGCGATGAGGATTCACAGGAGGGAAGGAGGTGGCTCCCTCGCTGTGCCCTTGGGGAGGCTTGAGCTTGGGAAGAGCGGCTGCTGCTGGAGGAGCTGGGAATTCTGGCCGCCGCGGAGGACCGGTGCCGGCCGCCCTGGGGGTGAAGCCGCTTCTCCTTCCCCACGGAGCTCCAGCGGGAGCCCCCGGCTTTCAGCTGTTTCTGAAACTTGTCAACTGCTCAGAGGATTCCTTTCAGGAGGCTGGGGTGTTCTGGAAGGCGATGTGGGTCCACTTTATTAGGAACTCCTTTTTGAAATGCTAGAACTTTTTGCTGTAGTGTAGCAAGCTGTAATATTTGACAGGGGTCATACTTACGCAAAAATCCTTGAAGAGTATCTCAGCCTCCACCGATGTGGACATGACATGTTTTAATTTTCTTTTTCTTTTTTTTTTTTTTTTCTGGTTTTTTGAGACAGGGTCTCACTCTATAGTTGAGACTAACCTGGAACTCACTATGTAGCCCCAGGGTGGTCTCGAACTCACAGCGATCCTCCTGCCTCAGCCTCCTGAGTGCTGGGATTACAGGTGTGCGCCACCATGCCCAGCTGACATGACATGTTTTCCATGAATTGTTTTTTTTTATAAATTTTATTTAAGCCTCTCAAAACATTTTTATTTTATTTTATTTTATTTTATCTCATCCCCTCCTCAAACTCTCTCCCCTCCCTATGTACAAAAGTTTTGATTCCATTTTTTCCTTCTAGTTTCACTTTTTTTCTTCCTCTCTCCCTCCCTCTTCCCTTGTTCCCCTTCCCATTTGAACACTTATTCCTATTTCCCAACATTGTACATTTCAGTCCTTATTTCCACTTTTGGTTTTTCACACCAGAGAATGTGGTGTTTAAACATGAGTGGTCCGATTTTTTTCACTTAAGAGTATGGTCTCAAGGGGCCAGGGATTTAGCTCAGTGGTGCCACTGCCTGCCTCACAAGTACTTGTCCTGAGTTCAGTCCCCAATACCAAAAAAAAAAAAAAAAAAAGAATATGGTCTCAAGGTCCATCCATTTAGCTATCAATGTTTGAAGTTCATCCTTCTTGAGAGCAGAGCAGTAGTACTCCATTGTATTTTTTAAAAAAAATCTTCGGGGCCAGGTATGGTGGCACATGCCTATAATCCCAGCACTGGGGTGGCAGGGGGGTGCTGAGGCAGGAGGATCGCTGTGAGTTGGAGACCAGCCTGGGCAACATAGTGAGGTCCAGGTCAGTCTCAACTACATAGTGAGACCCTGTCTCAAAAAAAAAAAAAAATTAAAATTAAAATAAATACAAAATTTTTAAAAATCTTCTTTATCCACGTGTCATTTGATGGGCATTTGGGCTCTTTCCAAGATTTAGCTATTACAAACGGTGCCGCTATAAACATGAGTGTGCATATATCATTGTGGTAGGATGTTTTTAATTCTCTTGGGAAGATCCCAAGAAGAGGACTAGTGGGGTCAAATGGAAACTCTAGTTTTAGTTTTTTGAGAAATTTCCACACTGATCTCCAAAGCGTTTGCACCATCTACATCCACCAGCAGTGGAGAAGGGCTCCTTTTTCCCCACAGGCCCTCCAGCATCTGTTATTGGTTGATTTCTTGATAGCCGCCATTCTTTCTGGAGTGAGATGGAGTCTCAGCATTGTTTTGATTTGCATTTTACAAATGACCAGTGATGTTGAACATTTTTTCATATATTTGTTTGCTATCTGTAACTCTTCATCTGAGATGTTTCTTTTTATTTCAGATGCCCATTTTTAATGGGTCTTTAATTTGAGGTGTCTGATTTTTTTAGTTCTTTATATATTCTAGATAAAAGTCCTTTATCTGATGAATAGATGGTAAAAAGAATTTTTCCCACTCTGTGGGTTATCTCTTCACTCTATTGATCATTTCTCTTGCTGTGCTTAGGCTTTTTAAGATGAGGTCCCAGCTGTTGATTCTTTGTAGTACTTCCCATGTGGTCTGGGTTTTGTTCATGACGTCTTTGCCTCCTCCTGTGTCCTCAGGTGTTCTACCTATTCTCCAGCAGATTTAGGGTTTCTGTTTTAATATTTAGATCTTTGATCCATTTCAATTTTAGGTTAGTGCATGAGGAAAGATACGGGTCTAGTTTCAATCTTTGGCATGTAGAAAGCCAGTTTTTCCAGCACCATTTACTAAAGAAGCTACCTTTCTTTGGTGAAGGTGTTTGTCAAAGATAATGTGGCTGAATGTGTTTGGATTTGTCTCTGCATCTTTTAGTCTGTTCCACTGATCCTCAAGTCTGTTTTTATCACAGTACCATGCTGTTTTTATCACAGTAGCTCTGTAGTATAATTTCAAGTCAGGGATTGTGACACTCCCTGCCTTGCCTTTGTTGCCCACAATTCCCTTAGCTGTTCTAGATCTATTCTGGTTCCAAATGAACTTTAGGATTGTTTTTTTCTAACTCTGTGAGGTACACTGTTGGAACTTTGATTGGGATTGCATTAAATCTCTGTGTGATATTTTTGTTTTGTTTTGTTTTTGTTTTTGTTTTTGGCACCAGGGATTGAACTCAGGACCTTGTGCTTGCAAGGTAGGCGGAGGAAACACTGAGCTAAATCCCTGGCCTGGGATTGCATTAAATCTGTATAACAATTTTGGAAGTATAGCCATTTTCAAGATATTGGTTCCATGAAGCATTCTTTTTTTTTCTTTTTTTTTTTCTATGAAGCATTCTTATAAAGAGTATTGGGCTGGGGATTTAGTTCATTGGTTCCGCCACCTGTCTCACAAGCGCAAGGTCCTGAGTTCAATCCCCAGTACCAGAAAAAAAAAAAAGAGTATTTTATCCCCGAGTCCCTACCATCCTTCAGATAAGTACTCAGTAGCAAATCGATGAGAACAACTACGAGGAGAATCTTCAGCAAATGTTTAACAGCTCTGTGCAGCTCTTCATGCTAACAGCCTGATTTTGGAATGCTGATGGACACTTCAGACCCTGGAGTGTTTAGCAAAGTCTCTTCTAACTCAATTTCTTCTTTGAGTTTTACTAATACTGGTGGCTCAACCCCATATCTTGACACAATGCAAACAATTTTAAGAAGAGAAAGATACACTTCTATTGGATACTTGTGTAAAACATACAACCCAGCAATTCCACTCCTACATTTGTACCTAAACTTTCAGATTCAAAGAGGTACATCACAGGGAGTTAGCTCAGTGGTTCCACCACCTGCCTTGTAAACGTAAGGACCAGAGTTCAATCCCTGGTACAAAAAAAAAAAAGGTACATCTGGTCAACCGTGACCTCCCTGCACCAGTGGAGGAAGTTCCTGGTGTTGTTTCTGCTTCTTCAAAATTGCATGTTTTCACCATATTTTGAAGAGTATCAACCAGTTGACATAACAATACTCCATTATAGTGGTGCGCCTGTAAATTCAACCGTGACCTCCCTGCACCAGTGGAGGAAGTTCCTGGTGTTGTTTCTGCTTCTTCAAAATTGCATGTTTTCACCATATTTTGAAGAGTATCAACCAGTTGACATAACAATACTCCATTATAGTGGTGCACGCCTGTAATCCCAGCACTCGGGAGGCTGAGGCAGGAGGATCGCTGTGAGTTTGAGACCAACCTGGGCTACACAGTGAGTTTCAGGGCAGTCTGAACTACATAGTGAGACCCTGTCTCAAACCCCCCTCCCCCCAAAAAAAACTCCATTATGAAGTTCATCCAGTAGTTTTTCGGCTTTAATTTCAAAACTTAACCAGATAGACAGATGTTCTTGCATAGGCAACAGAGAGGCTTCATGCCTCATAGCTATACGCTCATCATACTGACAAACATCAGCCAATTCTGGTCCGTGTCTTGGAGTCAGAAGGCTTCAGGGACTTAGAGGTAGGTCTTCTCCAAACCATACTTGAACTGCAGGCTGTATTGTCATTTCTAGAGTGACGGAACTACTATTCATAAAAACACTGAGGTGGTAGAAGGTATCAGACACATCTGCTTTGAATTGCAGCTCCATCACATACTGGTTAAGGACCCGGAGGTAGTTAATTTCCTAGAGCCTCAGTGTTCTAATCGGAAGAATGAGATATTATCACCTCCCCCATACGGCTGCAGTCTGGGCATGGAACGGCCGCTTTTCCCTCAATCTGTGCCAACTGACAGGCCCCCGTCCTTTTCATTGTTGTTTTGGTTTTTTGTGTTTTTTTTGAGACAGTGTCTCACGTTGTAGTTCAGGCTGGCCTTGAACTCACTGTGTAGCCCCGGCTTGCCTGAAACTCTAGGTGAGCCTCCTGCCTCAGCCTCCCCAGTGCTGTGATTGCACCACCGTGGCTGGCGGTGACA